ATCAAAGAGAGCTTACAGAAGAATATCGCGTAACAAACTTTTCTTCAAACAAAGGAACCCTGCTGCAGAAATGGTCAGTTTGAAACTCGTTATAACTTATTGATGGTCTTTCTTGTTTAGTGAGAAGAGATTTTTTTAGCGGCTGTTGTTATTTTTGGAACTCCCGTTTTTGCACAAGCGCTTTGCTCACAATTCAAAAGTGTCGGGTTTTGAACTCCGGCTAGAAGACAAAGCTTGATCCACCAAACAAACCTTGACCCATCAAACAAACCTTGACCCAACAAACCTTAACCCAACAAACCTTGACCCAACAAACCTTGACACAACAAACAAACCTTGACCCAACAAACAAACCTTGACCCAACAAACAAACCTTGACCAACCAAACAAACCTTGACCAACCAAACAAACCTTGACCAACCAAACAAACCTTGACCCAACAAACCTTGACCCACCATACCTTGACCCAACAAACAAACCTTGACCCAACAAACCTTGACCCACCAAACAAACCTTGACCCACCAAACAAAACATGACTTACCAAACAAACCTTGACCCACCAAACAAACCTTGACCCAACAAACCTTGACCCAACAAACCTTGACCCACCAAACAAACCTTGACCCACCAAACCTTGACCCACCAAACAATCCTTGACCCACCAAACAAACCTTGACCGATCAAACCTTGACGCACCAAACCTTGACCCACCAAACAAACCTTGACCCACCAAACAAACCTTGACCAACCAAACAAACCTTGACCCAACAAACCTTGACCCAACAAACCTTGACCCAACAAACCTTGACCCAACAAACAAACCTTGATCCACCAAACAAACCTTGATCCACCAAACAAACCTTGACCCACTTAACAAACATTGACCCATTTAACAAACCTTTACCCACCAAACAAACCGCTCTAGCCCTCAAATAAAAACAACGTAAACGGTGCGGTACACTATAGAATGAAATGCAACCTGTAAGATAGGTTTGAATCTGATCTGGTTTATGAGCGTGTCAACAACCTCAAGTAAAGTAAGTTCCTCCTACAGTTACCAGATATTGTTCGAAATTTGATATAATGTCTATATGTGCAATTTTTTCAACATAAGAGGAAGGCTATTTAAGACATAAAGACAAAATTGCAAAAATAAGTTTTTTTTTTCCTAATCGGGTAGATGTAAAACGTCGAGATTTTTAAACATCTCGATTTCCTTTTTTTTTTTTTGCACGATGACAATTCTTCCTTAAAATGAGAAAGTAAAAATCCTACGTTTAAAAAAATACACTTTTTTTTCTGTAAGATCATGCACTTGAACCATCGAATAATAACAATAATTGCCTGTGTATAGGAGCCAAGTACTAAATGACAATCGGATGACGGAAGAGGGTTACGTACTTTACAACTTTACAAGTGCAAAGGTGTTTGAATTTGACGTGGTCGTGGTTGTCACGGACAAAAAAGAAGTTTTTGAATCCATCGGACTTCTGGAGCTACAACACTGGTCTGACAGCTATTATTTACCGTTCACAGAGCAAGTTACATTTTTCTTATTAAATAGGCTCTACATGTTAAAAAAAAAGGAGGAAAAAATTTTTTTAAAATAATTTTTGTAAATATTCTATATTTTAATTGCAGTTTATAATACTTTAAGATATACATATTGTAATGCGAGTATATTTATATAACCATAAGTTTTAATTTAAGTAGTATAACCACTATAATTTCAGATAACAACGTAATAGGAAATTATTACCTTTGTTATGGCAATTGCATTCACTCATCGCTCATTTTAAGTCTATAAATATAATATATAATATATAATATATAATATATAATATATAATATATAATATATAATATATAATATATAATATATAATATATAATATATAATACATAATATATAATATATAATATATAATATATAATACATAATATATAATATATAATATATAATATATAATATATAATACATAATATATAATATATAATATATAATATATAATATATAATACATAATATATAATATATAAGATATAATATATAATATATAATATATAAGATATAATATATAATATATAATATATAAGATATAATATATAATATATAATATATAATATATAATATATAATATATAATATATAATATATAATATATAATATATAATATATAATATATAATATATAATATATAATATATAATATATAATATATAATATATAAGATATAATATATAAGATATAATATATAATATATAATATATAATATATAAGATATAATATATAATATATAATATATAATATATAATATATAATATATAATATATAATATATAATATATAATATATAATATATAATATATAAGATATAATATATAATATATAAGATATAATATATAAGATATAAGATATAATATATAATATATAAGATATAATATATAAGATATAAGATATAATATATAATATATAAGATATAATATATAAGATATAAGATATAATATATAAGATATAAGATATAAGATATAAGATATAAGATATAAGATATAAGATATAAGATATAATATATAAGATATAAGATATAATATATAAGATATAAGATATAATATATAAGATATAAGATATAAGATATAAGATATAAGATATAAGATATAAGATATAAGATATAAGATATAAGATATAAGATATAAGATATAAGATATAAGATATAATATATAAGATATAAGATATAAGATATAAGATATAAGATATAAGATATAAGATATAAGATATAAGATATAAGATATAAGATATAAGATATAAGATATAAGATATAATATAAGATATAAGATATAAGATATAAGATATAAGATATAAGATATAATATATAAGATATAAGATATAAGATATAAGATATAAGATATAATATATAAGATATAAGATATAAGATATAAGATATAAGATATAAGATATAAGATATAAGATATAATATATAATATATAAGATATAAGATATAAGATATAAGATATAATATATAATATATAAGATATAAGATATAAGATATAAGATATAATATATAAGATATAAGATATAAGATATAAGATATAAGATATAAGATATAAGATATAAGATATAAGATATAAGATATAAGATATAAGATATAAGATATAAGATATAAGATATAAGATATAAGATATAAGATATAAGATATAAGATATAAGATATAAGATATAAGATATAAGATATAAGATATAAGATATAAGATATAAGATATAAGATATAAGATATAAGATATAAGATATAAGATATAAGATATAAGATATAAGATATAATATAAGATATAATATATAAGATATAAGATATAAGATATAATATATAAGATATAATATATAATATATAAGATATAATATATAATATATAATATATAAGATATAATATATAATATATAAGATATAATATATAATATATAAGATATAATATATAATATATAAGATATAATATATAATATATAATATATAATATATAATATATAATATATAATATATAATATATAATATATAATATATAATATATAATATATAATATATAATATATAATATATAATATATAATATATAATATATAATATATAATATATAATATATAATATATAATATATAATATATAATATATAATATATAATATATAATATATAATATATAATATATAATATATAATATATAATATATAATATATAATATATAATATATAATATATAATATATAATATATAATATATAATATATAATATATAATATATAATATATAATATATAATATATAATATATAATATATAATATATAAGATATAATATATAATATATAATATATAATATATAATATATAATATATAATATATAATATATAATATATAATATATAATATATAATATATAATATATAATATATAATATATAATATATAATATATAAGATATAATATATAATATATATAAATAATATATAATATATAATATATAAATATATAATATATAA